AGCTTAAGGCTTCCTTTTCCTCTGCTCTAAAACATAAATGCTCTAGCTGCATTTTGTTAGTAAGTTGTGAAGTACGTAGTATGTGGATTTAAATGCCTTTCAAAGCCATATGTGAATTTCACGTATTTTGTAATGATTACTTTTTCAACTAGTTAAAGAAATGGCCAAATAACTAGGTCATTTCCAGCTGAATCTATAAGGTATGAACTGCTCCATTTTTTCATGCTACCCAATTTCTGTAGCTTCTGCAAGTGTTTTTCAAACTAGCATGGAGAATACAAAATCATTAAGACAGCCCAATTGAAAGCATGGCAGTTTTCATTGTTACATCTAAGATTTCTTAAAGTGAAATAAAATGTATTAAAGTAATACTTTTAAAAGTACAGTCTTTATGAATGCCATAAATCGGTTTCTTTTCCTGTATATTTTTCAAAAACAGGTTGTCCTGGTTATCTCTAGTAGCTTTAAGAAGCAGGGGACACACACCCCAACAAAATAATTTATCTAAAATTGAATTCACAGTATGACTCAGGATTATTTTGGTTTTTCAGTAGTGGAATGGCAACTTTGGGTGGATTGTGTTGTATTATAATGAGTAACTTGGAGTCAATCCGATGAGGCCCTAATGAAATATTTGCTCCCATCGTTTCTGTACATTACAAATTGATGTTTTGGTCTAAAACGCTCCTCTTTTCATCCTTTTGTTGATGCTGGAATTCATATGCATGTGGAAAAATTAATATTCTTACAGTCTTAATAGTCAAATATTATGACCATAAATAGAAGGCATACTTTCATTTAAAAGTAAAATCAAAGGTCTTCTCCTGTGGAAAACAGCACAAATTCCATACATCAAAGCTACTGCAAACAATAGGCTTGATGACTCCAAGAATATCGTCCCTGTGCTGAGCTGCACAGATGGAAGCATCTAAAGGTCAATGGTCTTTTATGGAGAATCCTGCTGCTCAGTTCCTGGTTTGGCATGATCACTGGAGAAAGAGTGGCCAACTGTGAAAAGAATGCTTTTCATTCATTTTCAGTCAAGTATTGCAGCAAAATACTTGATTCTTCTTACCAAGTTAAAAGTAAAAAAATCTTTATGTGATTTGGCAAGTTAGTGAAGTCACAGCTTAAATCTAGTTCTCTTACAGAGAAAGCAAGTTAGGTGTTCTACTAATTTGTATAAATAACAGTAAAAAATAAGTTCCTGGATACTGTTGGATTGATGGTAAAGATCCTTATGATTCCACTTGAAATAAAGTGAGTCTTGAGCACATTGAGAAAGGACGGCGTATTGTTAACAACGTATTGCACAGTTTCCATCAAGGATATCTATACTGCGTATCGTAGAGAGCTCCTGCCCGCTCTTAGAGCCTAATCTTTCTTTCATTGAAAACTCCTGTTAAATTGAGCATTTCATAATATTGGCCTGTTAATCTGATGCGTACACAGACAATACAAATAATTCATCCTTGAAAAATAAAGAGCAGTCAGGCATGTTTGACTGAGATCTATCTGAACATCTTTGAGCCTTATTAGGCTTCAGTTTCTGTAGAAACAGAGATAATACACACAAATATATGCAGGCAATTTTTTCAGCCTGTAAATACCCATCTTGCAGTCTAAGAAACCCTCCCTGAAATCCACAGGCAACTCAAGAATCTTGCAGTTTTATAGTAAATTAATAACAGTCCAGGCTGCATAAAACCAAACCCACTTCTCATACATAGACTGGCAGGTGTATGTCACTCCAGGTAACTTCAGCCAGATCTGACAGGCAGCTGCCTGGCCCAAAAATACTGCATTTCCTACAGGTTTCATGAAAATAGACTGCTGCACAGAAGACAGCAATGGTGAGGAGAGGGCCTGCGGGTCGCGTGGCTGCGCGTCCCACAGAGCAGCGATGTGCTGCCTCCCCCCGAGCAGCTCCATAAATCCTTGCTCCTGTTTGGTAGTGGAGAATGGGCTGTGAAACGCAGTCCGGAAGAGATCGAGCTTCAGCGGATCCATTGCTGATGGAGCTGGCTGTTCACTTTGTGGGAAATTTTCTGCTTTTTTTATTAACTCCTAGCAGTACCTGTAGATTACACCTTAGCCTTGTTGGGGGTGGTATAAACATTGAATTAAATCATAACTTACTAACTGAGGTTGTAGAAAACGGCTTGCTTTTATTTTCAGCTCAGACCTGTCACAGGTACTTCTGGGTAGCTTTTGATGCCTGGGAACAGCAAGCCTCTTCACAGAGCAAAATACAACAAAGTGCAGAAGCATTTGCAGGATTATACCATGAGATTGATTTCCAAACCTGTCTTGAGGACTGAACTTGTTAGAAAGGCAGGCAGTTCCCAGCTATATAATTTACTCACAGTAGAGAAATGCCAGAGCCTGAGACTTCTTCCAGTCAGAGTACGATGAAAGATGAAACACTTTATAAGGAAATGCAATTAAAACAATCAGCAAATGAAACAAAAATCCTCTGAGCTATTCCTTCCTCTGGCTTTCCTTATACATCCTGTCTCTTCTCTGTTTTGGATAATTAGATTGAAAGCTCTTTGAAATGAGGAACTGTCTACATTTTGTCTCGTGTAAGACTGAGATCACTGTTAGTACTTTAGAAGATACATTAATATTTAGCATTTGTCTTTATTGCCTCTGATGGAGACATTTGGCCCTGGATTTGTGTGAGAACTTTCCCAAGGATGAACAAAGAAATACTAGTGTGAACTGACAGCATGTAATGTTTCTCCTGATGGATTTTAGGTTGTTATGAGCTAAGGAGGAGCATGGGATATCTCGTAGGTTTTGCCAGTTTGTGCATAGTAATGAAAAACTACACCTGAAAGATAGACATGACCAAGATGAGATTATTCTCAGGTACATACCCTCATGACATTTTGGTAAGTGGTTAAAAATATATATGTAAGTGGAATGCAGGTATAGACTATGGGAGTAAGCTCTTTGACAAATCTCCAGCAACTGCGGGACAAGTGAGATCTCAATCCCAGCTGCTCAGGCAGGCGGTGAGAAGGGGTGGTTTCGGGACTGGAGGGGTATCCTGGGGATTGGAAATGTGGCCTGGGCTCCATGGCTGGTGCTCAGGTCCTGGCTCTGTCACAGCCTGTTGTGCAAGTTACACTTGACTGCAGAAAAAGAATCTGGCCTCTCTCCAAACCCAGAAGTGATAAAGGCCACAGCAGTGCAAAACCTGGTCTAACCTGACAAGTACCTGATCTAAGTAATAAGTATGACACTACTTTCCACCTCTGCCCCACACAGACTTTCCAATTCCAGCCGGCGCTGGCTTCAGGGTCTTGAAATTGTGCTCTGTTGTACAATTAAGCTGCTCCCACAGTGTCTCTCTGTGCTTTTGTTCACCTATGAAACACTGAAAGTCGGTCTTCCCCACCTCGCCATGGTGTTTTGAAGATAAATGTGCTAAGCATCGTAAGGGACTTAAACACTGTGGTAGCGGGGGTCATTTTAGAGCAGAATGTGTTTCTGATAATCACGAATTAGTTTCTTTCCAACATCTTATCTTCCAAAGCCAGAGTTCCAGGCTCCAGTTTGCTGCGTTGCTGCTAAAGTAGTGGCATCTGCTTTTCTTTCTTCAAGGCTTTGCACAATTTGGAGCTTAGAGAGACGGTCCCTTGTTTCAAAATTGCCCTCTTTGTGCTTAGTCATTACTTCTGCAAAACTCTGCTCTCCGGCCTCCCAGACCTCTGTAACAGATGCTATTGTGCAACGTGAGGGACTGTGATTGAAGTTTCCAGAACAGATCTTAATTAGAAACATAACTTCATACAGTAGCTTGGAATGAGTACAGGGGAAAAAAAAAAAAAAGAATCAAAACAAGAGATGAAAAAGAAAATGCCAAAAAGAGAGACAAATAAAAGGCCATTTTACTGGCATTTTGTACTGAAAAGCACTTGACAGGAAATACTATGCATATCCACGGAAAACTGAAGCCTATAGCAAGCAATAAGAACTATTTAAGACCCTCAAAAAGCCAGATCCTCAGCTGGTGTAAATCAGCATTGCTTCATTGATTTTGTGAGAGCTGCCATTTCTCATTGACTTCAGCGGTGCTGTGCTCATTTATACCAGCTGAGGACCCCAGCCAGTTTGGCACAATTGAAATTCAGAAACTTTGAACACTTGTTTGTTTTGTGTGGCGCTTCTTTTTTTTTATTATTATTTTTTAATTGAATTTTAATCAATCTTTTGTTTTATAGATTGTCCTCCACTTGGTCTAGAGACATTAAAAATTACTGACTTCCAGCTCCATGCCTCTACAGCAAAGCGGTATGGCCTTGGGGCCCACAGAGGAAGGCTTAATATTCAGGTAACATCCATTTTTCTCCTAAGTGGGAGAATAGCTTAAGGTTGTACTGTTGTATAAAGAGAACCAATGGATGGTTATCGGTTCTGACTACTTTGTCAGCTCATGTAATTCAAATGAAGGGGAAACACTGGAATTATAGAAGTGAATAAGGGTGATGGATAACCTTTAGATTCATGGGGCTTAGTAAGAAAATAATCCAAACTTAGTGTGCTGAGGATTCGAATCCAAAGACCTCTATGAGCAAGCAAAGGAGGAGGCAGCCCAGAACTGCTCTCTTCCCAGCTGCAGGACATGGTCCCAGCTCCTTTAACAATCAGCCTGGAAGGAAGCTCACGCAGGGAGTTGCTTTTTTTTGTTGTTTGTCTGTAGTTAATGACAACAGTTAATTGAAAGTGTGGTTTCAAGTGAAGCGCTTGCCCTAAGGCTGTTTTTCAGAGGCAACGACTATTCTACCAAAAAAATGCTTCAATTCAGAAGTCACTAACATACAATCCTGTTTAGCTTCTTTTATTTAATATCGAAGGTTTGTTTAGGTGCTTTGCAGGACCAAATCCTATTTTCCCATTTCTCGTGTTTCTGTTTTCCACTTCATTAGCACTGTTTTCTGGATTACGATCTTTTCCAGTGTAAAAATGTTACATTTGCTTAATAAGGTAAATTTAAAACTCAGAGACAAAAACAGGGTACTAGCACCAAACCAACAGTGAAAAATCTCTAAAGTTTATTTATTAGTTCCCTTTTATTATTAGACCCTCCATTATTTTTTTTTTTTCTCCACCTGAAGGGATTTGCTAGTTAATCAACCAAGACTGGGACTAGGAAGGGTGAGCTCTAATCAGCAGTGCAATTTCACATGGTGCCCACTGCAGTGTAATGGTGGGCAGCTGCTGGAAGGAGGGACTACTCTTGGTTAAAACCCAACCATGCAACTGCCCCCCCTTTGCTTCAGCTTCTTCTAGAGTCTCTGCACAAACATCTCTGTGAGCTTCTTCACAGGGGAAAAAAACTGTCCTCTTCCCACTTATTTGTTTTAATGAATTAATGCTGGTCAGAAAGCTCAGTAAACCCCTTTGGTATGCAGCCACATGAACAACAGACCCAGCTGGAGGTGAATGGTAGGAGACCAGCAGAGAGGTGGGAACTGGCTCTTCCTTTCCAAGCCAGTGTGCAGGTACAGCAGGTTGGGTGCAATGTGGGGTCTCAGCTGCAGCCTTCATATTTCATTTTTTCTGAGAGCTGAGTGGGGTAGTTTGCTTCTTTGCTTCATGTTCTCTGCTAGGAAAAAACCCTTCATGAACCCAAAAATGGTGTGCAGGTGGTATTCAGGTGGCTTCTATAGAAACGTTTAATGTTTTGTTTATATAGTGGCATAAGACCGAAGACTGTGATGCAAACCTCTGAATTCTCTGTTGGTTGTGGGTCCTCATTTTTCATGCTGGTGTTAAATTCTGATTTATTTAAACACATGAATGACCATTCTGGTCATTGAATGACCAGGAGTCCATCTAGTCCAGTGTCCAGTCATCACCACTAACACTGCATTAAAATGAATAGAGAAGTGTAAGTCTTACCTATGGATGATGTTTCCTCTAAATACAGCCCAGAGCCTCCAGCAGCAGCCAAAGGGACAGCCTTTTGCTGGGAAGCAAGCAGAAGCGAGGTGCCACTCTGCTCTCCCTTCCCTGAAAGCTCCTGGGGCTTGGGTTAGACCACGAGTGTTCCTTTTGGTGTCCTGTCTCCTAGGACCTCAGAGCCTGCACTTCTCCCATCCCACCTTCATCTGCTGGGTAGCAACCATGCCTGGGCCCTACCAGTTACGACAGTAATGCTTCTGCCAGTTCTGTGGCAGCTGTTTCTTTTGCGTTTATTGTGGGAATAAGCTCCTCACCTCTGCAGCGTGGAGGCTGTTGGGCTCTCCCTGAAGTGCCCCACGGAGCCTGGGGTGAAAGGACCTTCTGTCTTGTGCAAACCGGGTTTTTACTCTTCTGCATTCAAATGATGGTGCCTTTTTTTTCCCTTTGAACAAAGGCTTCACGTTGTCACGCTTCTGCTTGATACAGGTTTTTGTGGGTTTGTTTTCCTGAGCTGTGCGAATTCTGCATGGATTGATTCTCCTTATTATATAAAAGCTGGTTTTACTCTTTTCTGGTATAGGGACTTACCTGATACCAGGACTGTGGGAGGGTCATACACAAACAACCCAACACCACCTGGCTTACGGCAAAGTGACTTCTGTGACTTTCTTTTTCTTGCTTAAATGAAGCCCTTTTTCTCCACTACATCTTCACCTCTTCTCAACTGAAAAGCTTTTACCCTTGCTGAAAGTTTGGCTGTATACTATAGATACAGTAATTCCCTAAACCCCTTGACCACTTACAGTTACCACTACAGCTGGCGGTGTTAAAAGTATGGGCTCGCATTTATTTTTCGTTAGATACTGTTTCCTTTAGGATTAGTTTAAAATTAACAGCACTTAAAAATATTTGAAAGCCACTTAGAATTTGTAGGTCTCTTCCCTGTCATTTGGGTTTCAGTGCTTAATGTGACTTTGCATCAAGACTTCTGGATTTCCATAGTATTTAAGAGATATATGCTCATAACCAAGAACAGGTACTACAGGGGACTGAGGTGTCAGCTGGGTAATGAGGTCCCTGGTGATTTCTGTCTGCTGCTCAAAAGAGCAGGCTGAGGCATGCTGGGGAAAGGTAAAAGGCACTGGTATTTGAGCAGCTGTGTTTTCATGCTGTTTGGCACTGTGCATGAAGAAAAACACTTGGCCCAAGTCAGTCCGACTCTGAGAGGCCAATGTGCTGCTGATGTTCCACCGGAGCATTATGCTGTATGTGTGGTGATGAGCAGCTTGACGCCCTTGTGGCATGGTCACCACAGAGCTGTCACAGGATTCATGTGACGATTGTGTGTTCCTCCCCGAAACAGGACTAGATCCACTCTCTGCTCATTCTCATCATCTGATGCAAAGTCAGCTGAGAAGCTTAGGGCTCACCCCAGGTAACTGGCACTACCTCGATTCACAGGGAATTTGCAGAATAATGGTTTTTCAAAGGCTGCTGAGGGGTTGGTTTTTTTTTTCTGTTTAGGTTATTTGAAGCGTATGAAATTAATCAGGCGGAATATGCTTTATTCTGAAGAAGGACAGGCTTAGGACAACTGGATAAGACCTTCTAGGATCTGCTTCTCTTGTGACCTTGCACTGTGGGACCTGATTTTTCTCCCTGTCCTGTACGAACATGGTGATTAAGCTGGGAACTCCTGAGGGCAGGAGCAATGTTACTAGAGCCCCATATATCAGGGATCTAGCTTGCAACTGCGGCAGTGGCACAACCAGTCATAATTTAACATATCAGGCAAAATCACAGCATAAAATAATATTAATTGAGGCGCTCTGCCTTCAGGGATAAAAGTCATTACTATTTGTCGCTTGTACGATAATTAGCAGTGGTCAAAGCCTGAAGTAATTAGTCAGATTACATTACTTCCCCTTCCTCATTTTCCTGGTTGGAGAAATCCAAACAACACTGAAGATTAACCAAGTAATGCAATAATGTGTACGCAAATAAGGAGGATGTATTGCTTTGTGGGTTTTTTTTTTCCCAGTTATTTGTTTCACTAGTTATTTTTGAAAAGTTCCATCACCAAAACACAAGTAAAAGAAAAAATTATTGAAGCTCTGCTTTCAGCCTCTGCGCTTGAATTCTTCTGTTCTCTACTGGCAGTGACTGCTATAAATACCTGTGATGAGTAATGCCTTTCCCCCCCCTTGCTCCTCCCAAAATTCCTATGGTAAAATAATGTTTGTGATCACCCTGCTGGGAACAGAGAATTTAAGCAGAAGTGGTTTGATATTAGATATATTTTTACTGCCGCTTCAGATGACTTGTGGCAGAAGACTGAAATTTATTTCCTCATTTGAATACATTTAGGCAGCAATATTTTTCTCCTTTAGTACAGAATAAGGCTTTTGGAACAGTGGTAATGTGAGCAAGTGTTTATTCTGTCTTGCACATCTAATTCAGAAGAGAAACATGAATTCAAATCACAAGTCATATCATTTGTCAAGGAATTGTAACCTTCTGATTTCCCTTCATCAAGGTAGCTTCTGGGTACCTAATAAGCAGTTGATTTGTTTTGTTCGAATTACAATTTTCAACATTCACATCCATAGATAACTTTTTCAGGAGTGACAGAAAAAAAGTCCCTTTTCCTAGATCAAAAAGGTAGTTTTTCATAAGATACTGAATATTGAGAAATGTTTTTGCATTTGGCTGCAAGTGAAATGTAAGCTGGGTTAGACTTTGAGTTATTCTTGGCCATTCGGTGAAGGAAAAAAAGGGGTTGCTTAAGACCTAGTCCTTACTTCCAGTTTTCATTAGCTCCTTCACTCTCCTACTTACGAAGATAATGTGTTTAAAATGTATAGCTTAAAGTTATGCATGTCATAACTTGGATCCATTATCTCTGTTAATGCGATATGCAATGTTTAAATTCATGTAAACGTCTTACAGCAGAGATGTATCTTGATCTGTATTCTTTGATCTAATATTTGACGATAATTGTTCTTATCTTTCAGGAATGATAGTTTTTCCAAAGAAATTTTATAGCAATTTTAACTACTACGTATTTGATTAAGTTTGTAAGGTGTGTGGGGTTTTTTTATCGAAACAATATTTTGAAGTGGCCATCGGGCAGATTCAGAACTTGAGACACCTTAAGAAAGAAATACAGGCTTGAAGCTTGAAAATAAAAGTTTTAACATAAATTTATTGGGATTCTTTTCCTTCAGAAATATCTCTAACAAGAGCTTCTCATTGATTAAACTCTTCTTTTTGAAGTAGTACTCTGTGCTAGTCATACACAGATACCTGCTTCTTTTTACCTAGTAAAAATATTCTTTTAGCTTCGGAGAAGTTGATGTCAGGAAATAAGAGAGCAGGAAGAAGTAGCAGCTTTGGAAGAGGTAGCAGCAGTTTTGTTTCTTTTTTTAATGCTCTCTTTGCCCCTATTTAAGGCCATAGGATTTTAAGCTGCGTATATCTGTAAGCATGTCCTTTAGACTCTCCATATTTGATATAAAACTTAAACATATGCTTAGCTTTATTTCAGTCCAGTTGAAACCATGGAGACTTGACTATGTAATTCAGGGGGGTTTTTGCAAATAAGCCCTTCTTTCTCTCTTCTACTTCGCTCTTCAAACTGTAATATAAAGGAGAGGTTCACACTCAGATGAGCATCACACCAATGGGAAATATCCTCAGCCTGAACGAGGACCAAGGATCCCAGATGAAGCAATGAGAGATAGGGGTACTTGGTCTGCAGAAATGGGCGGAATTTCATCAGTGTGAAAGGGATTAGCATGATGCTGGTTCAAGGTGCTCTGTAGATCTTAACACTTCCTGGCAAGCATTGGTTTTAAACCCTGAGGCTACTTTAAATTCCATCTTATTTGGAAATGCATTGAAACTTTTTCTTGAAAAAAGGTTCAAACTTAGGTCAGTGATTGTGTTTATATTCTCATGTTTTCCTGTTGTTCAGTTCTTCTTGAAGAATTTATCTTCCATTGTTAATAGAGGATTTTCTCTGTATCTTGTACTTTGACTTTTCTACAAACTTCCCTTTAAAATATCAGAGTTAATACATAGAAATTGGGGGCTTAATGTAATTTTGATAGATGCAGGAAAAAAAGTAATTTTTAAGCAGCCCTATCTCAGATTTGAATACCTGAGAAAACGAGCCATTTTAGGCATTGAATCTGTGTCCATGTTTTCCAGTGTTTCCTTCAGGTGCCACCAGACTCACATTGGGAAAAGGGATTAACAACTGCATCCTCTCTTTGGCTTAGACCAGCCCAATGCCTATTTTGGTAGAGATGGTCTGTAAAAATGGAGGTCAACAGAACTGTCAATCTCTGTCGTTGTAACCCAGCACTGACTGTAATATCTTCTAATACTGCTCAGTGGGAAGCTGAGGGATAATTCACGAAATTTAATTGACAGTTGTGCTCTGGGATACTTCATTTATGTTTTACGTATATACACACACAGCAACTGAATATATACCACTGAACAGACAGTAGCTGTATACCAGAGCTTTAAGAACTGTCTCTAAAATAAACTTACAAAGTTTTCCAGACTTTTCATTTACATTTGGGAAATATTCAAGGATATCCATTCTTGGAATTGCGTGGATGGCAATCATAAATCTGCATTAAACACAGACGAAATATCATAAAAATACATGTAGCCTCAGAGGACCATACGGAAAAGCTGTGCTCTCTATGGCAGTAGCCAGCTTGGTGCCAAACATTTCCTGGCCTTTAGTAATAAGATAAATGTCTAAAGACCTCAGATTCTATGTTTCTTTAAATACTATTTCAGACGTATTTGGAATACAGCTTACTCAAAATACGTTATAGCTATTTCTTTGAAAATATGGAGAAGGTTGGTTGTGGCGGTTTTGCCAGCACAAATTGGGATATAGATTGGTACACAAGTTGGAATACAGTTGGGCATTCCTGAATTTTTAACCTTTGATACCCTAGTGAAGAAAATTAACAATTCTGGGACTGAAAATTGGTGGAACTAATATTACTGTTTCCACATGCCTTGCACTGTCCTTTGCTGCTTCCAGGGGGAAGGAGATTGCTCCAGCACTGACCATTATTTACACGGGTTGGAGCTGGCTTTTTAGGACCTTCATAACTCTGAAGACAATGTGGATAATTTGTTCTAGATAAAGGCTCCATCAGGCCACAGCACAGACAGGTGGACTGACCTGAAGCTCTGTTTATGTTTTCTAACTTAAGTTTATATATAATGGTTCTTAGCTTTTAAAGGGACTTTGCAGAATTTCCTTCCCTGCTTTAAGTAAGAACATGTTTTTGTCACTCCATATAGCTGTTCAGAATGACAGTCTCATGGGTCTTAAAATAGAGCCAAAGGAGTAAGTGGAATGGATAATGACTTCATGTTTCCTTTTCTTTTTCCCACGAAAGACCTTTGGTTTCTTGGTTATGATTTATGAAGAGAGTTTTGCCTTCTTTTCAGGCAGGAGTTAACGAAAATGATTTTTATGATGGTGCTTGGTGTGCAGGAAGAAATGACCCATATCAGTGGATTGAAGTAGATGCTCGAAGGCTAACAAAATTCACTGGAGTCATCACACAAGGAAGAAACTCTCTCTGGTCGTAAGTAGATGCTTACTTTTCTCTATGATATTCTGGCCTTTCAGACCAAGGGATTCATGTTGTGTTGTGTTTTGGTTCTTCAAGGAAAAAAAAAAAGAAATAATGGAAATGCTGAGTGGCATCAAGTAATTGAATGGAGGAACAAGGCTTTTATATGACATGAAATACAAGTGTAAAGGTAGCAAAATTCTGTAGTCATTATCTACATCTGGCAAAGGAAGCACCACAATTCCCTCAGAATATATACCTTTATTCTCAACTTGTCAAACTTGCTTGTGTTAAATATTGGAAAAGAATTAGGAGGTTGAACTTGATTAGTTTGTCATTTATAAGAATAACCAGTGATCTTTGAGATTCATATGTAGGCAATCATCAAATAATTGGTAAAATTCTAAAACAACATGATTTTTAAATGAGCGGTTAAAACAAATTTTATATCTGTACTTTTTTATTCTAAAGAAGAATTTATTATATCACCAAAACCCACACAATATGTGTTGACCAGGACTGCTGTGTTTGGTAGCAGGCATGGTGTGCTGCGTTTGTGGATGCTAGGAAGACTCCTTGCAGTTTGAGTCTGCTTGCTAAAAAGCTCCTCAGAAGGAATGCTTGCCAGAAACAAGGCAACTGCCTTGCTGCGTTAGTCAAGGAGGCAATCCAGCCACGTGTACGCCAGCTTTGATCTGATAGTGCTGCCCAATTCCAACGCTGAAAGCACTCGTGAGCTTTCTGGTTGCTGCTTGCGTTACAGAACGAGTATCTGGCACTGGGAAACAGCTGGTTTGCACAGACTTGTGTGCATTTACTCATTTGTGACCTGCTTCTGAGTGCAGGTGCCCACATTGCTCCAGATTACGGTGTGACTCTGGTGAGAATTGCATACGAACAACACAGCAATCAGCTGGCATAAGCAGGAACTGGAGGTGATGGTTTATTTCTTTTTTTCCTGAACTTTACAGTGTTCGTTCAGTCTCTTAATTTCTTGTTGGGTCTCACTGCGTTATGTGAGCAAATAATCCCATTTGCGCTGCTAGAACTTTTGACCAAGTATGCGGGAGATGCACAGCCTTAGATCCATTCTGGACAGATCTCTCACTTAAGAAAATGTGTCGTATAACAAAAGGCAAGCCAGAAAAATGCCACTATATCTAAGAAAAAAGACAAACAGTCTTTTTTTCTTTCTGTAGTTTAATTTTGTGGGTTTATTTTTTTCATTTCTTTTAATGTTGCTGTGGGAGTAGGAGCTTTTTTGGCAATAAGGTTTCTATATTTATTCCACATTGTTCTGTGTTAGGTAGATAATTACTGTAGCAAAGTCTTATTCTTTTCTATATTCATACTCTTGACATTGCTGTTCCTATCAACACCAGTGCTGCACTGCTTCGTCTTGTCGTATTGCTATTTTTAGTTCAGCTCTATTGCAAGTTTACAAGAGGACTCGACACTCTATTTATAGTTGGCATTCACAGTCATTGTTTTTTGTTTGGTTTTTAAATTACTTGCTTTTTCCTCTCCTCCGCCATGAGATCTGGTGGGCAGAACCCTGAGGGTCTGCAGCAAGAGCAGGCTTGGTGCTGGGAGAGCAGGTCCAGGCTCCTCCTGGATTGCTACTCAGATTTGCAAAGAAACAGGCACATTTCTGCCTCGTAGGAGCGAAGATGGTTTCAACTGGACCAGCTGCACAGTGAGGCAGGCTAATATCTCCTAGAAAGCACATTCTGTAAGACTGAGTTCTGCCCCATGGAGGGGCCAGGGGAGTGGGGAGAAATAGTCCCAGGAAGGGGTGACCTCCTTCCCTACCTCTGGCTTGCACACAAGAGACTGCTCTGGAGTTGGCTTTTCTCGTCAGGGCGTGATGGCCTCCATCTCACTTGGTGGCTCTTGGTACAGCCTTGGCTGTGGGACTGGCTTCCCTGGAGTCCACCTCATTTTGTCTGTTCCCTCATTAGATTGAACAGATGAAATCAGTGTAGCTGATGTTTGCGCTCCGCTTCTGCATGTGTAAGTCCTTAGATTTTAAAAATAACTTGATACTCCCTGAGGTACCAAAGTAGATGTTCACGCTTTCAAAAGAGTTTAGGCTGACGTATGCAGCTCTCATCTGGGCCAAGAGTGATGTCCTGGGGTTTCCAGAGTCTCAGCACCTGGGAACATCATACCTAGGAAGATGGCAGATGCTCCTTTCTGAGTTAATCATGTTGCATCTGAAAGATGATCTTCTCAGTATGACTTTTACCTCGGTTCCTCCAGCAGTCAAGAAAGTGAGAAGAAGGGAAAAACGAAATCTTAGTGTGGAGAAGACCTACCCAAAGGGAAATTGAATTCAGACAACAGTACAGACCCTGAGGTTGAAGCAGAATTTGCCTTTGGGTAGGATTCAGAGGCACAGGTGGAAGCTTTGGTACTTGTGGCAAACTCAAGAGACAATGACCTCACTGTAGTCACAAGGGTTGTGTGCAGTGAATTGCCTTTTGTAAGCCAGCCTGGGAGAAACAGGCTGGTAGGACTTTTACTGGTGTGGGCAGGTTTTGTGACTGTTTTGCTATAAAGGGCACTAGAAGCGAAGGAGATTTGTTAGCTTCCTTCTCTTACACTTAACTACTGACTGGGGTGGTATCAAAAAGGACTATTGATGATATGAAAGTCTGTAAAAAAAAGATTCCATTCTGCTACCTGAGGCACCTTCCCAACTTTATGAATTTATGAGACAAGAATATAGTGCTTTCATAACTAATAGAAACATATGTTGGAGAATAAGCTTACTTCACGTAGGAGAGCCAAAAAACACCCCTTTGATCTGTGTTCTATTAGAAGCAAAAGCTTGCCAAGCTTGAGAGCCAAGGTAAGATTTTTATTTAAGCCTTGGAGATTTTCCCAACATTATACATCCTAGTGTCTTGATTTATTTTTTTTATATGCTAAGTTCACCAACGCTATTATGTGATAGTGGTAAAGAATCAGAAAAGCAACTTTTTCCTCTTTCCTCTTTGTATTGAACAAGAAATTTTAACAAAGCAGAAAAATTTACTGATCTGAAAGTCCTCTCTGAGCTTCTGCCTAGATCAGATTTGTACCTGTCCTGGTGCCTTTAGTTCCCTGCTGCTGACTTAATGAGGATGTGTGAAATGACAAAAAAGGGCAGGCAAGGACACCCTGCTGAATCCTGCTTCAAATAACCTTGCCCTTCACTGCAGGGCTGCAACACTTGAGTTATTAGCAGTCTGGCCTTTGATTCTGCTTACATGTCTGATGCTGTAGCCAGAGCTAGTATACTGGTGGTGGAAACAATCATTTACTCCTTTATAGCAGCACTGCCAACTGTAGTCTGGTTTTGCTGATGGCCCACTCCACACAGGGAGGGTCTGTTCACATCCAGCCTTGCTTAATGGTATTCTGGAGCTTTGTAGGCAATGATGAATTGAAGGTTATGATTGAAGCAATGCAAAGAACACAAAAATGTGTGGGGTTGCCACTTTCTGTATGCTGGCATGACTGGCTTCACCTCAGGTGTTCCTCTCCCCATCTCACTTGGAAAGTTGCTATTTCTTGTCTGTCTTCCCCTGCCGGCTGTGCCTCTGCTCGCCTGTCCAGGGCTTTTGTGCTTGACACATGAGAGCCTTGAGAAGGAAGAGGCCAAGGTTCAGAAACAGCTCTTGAAAACATGACCTGACTAGAGAAAGAAGGAAACCATGCTTGGTTAGTAATGAATACTTGAATTGTTTAATCATTTCCTTTTTGAGAAAAAACACTTTGAGTCTAGTTTTGTGCTCAAGTTGCCTGGCTATGAATTCCGTGATAGTCATATGAAATCAAATCTTTCTGCTTTTCTTTTTTCCTCCTGAAACAAGCAAAACCAGGCTTTGAACAAAAACTCCTGAATCTGAGGAGTCCTTCCTTTTACCAGTCAAAGCAACCACGTGGACTCAAAGGCTGTTGCTGTTCAGGCACCTGAGTGATTCCTCAGAAACCTGAAATCATGGCAAAGCACTCTTGCCACTGTAAATGGCAAACTCTGCTTAGATTACCCAGAAGATCTCCAAATGTTGAATTTCACAGATAAAGTGATGCCCCGCTGCAAGAACCAGGAATTCTTTTTGATTTTTATACTGAAGGCATCCAAAAGCGCTACAAGTGTTGGTGGATATGAATAAAAGCTAACACCTTGAAAGTGGGCAGAATATTGGTTCCTTTACAGGAACTGAGACATCTGGAGATGACTGGGCAATAACCACACTGTTTCACTATAATTATCTAGTAGTTGATAGATGGACATCAGAGACTTCTCTTCTCAGAGTTGTTTTGTTTGACTTTCTAAAGAAAGTTGTGTGAGTGGTGTGACCTTTTAGAAAGGCATGTGGCATCCTCCACTGAGAGGTGGATGGTGGCAGAGCTGGATTACAAGAGGATTTATGGCTGCATATTTGGAGGAGAAATACAGTACGTAATTCTTTATACTGCTGCCAATACATCTTTCAATTTTATGAACCAAGTGTCTTTAAACAACTGTTCAAGGCTGTTGAGTGGGACACTGGAAGCATCATTGTGGAATTGTGCCGTGTATTTAAAGCAATGATGTGATAGTTTAAAATATGCACTCCCTTGACAGAGGGAAAGAAAATATTAATCACTGTTAGCAGTTTGGCAAAAATCTAAACAACATAGGAAACATGTTTCCCAGAACCCAAAGAATCTTTTGATAATTCAGCACCACCTCTTGTATCAAGAGAAAACCCACATGTCTAAATAGAGTCGGTGTGTACTGACTGTAGTACAAAGCTTCAGACTGTTTCAACCCAGAGGATGTTTTGATTTTTAGAAGAGGATGCAATGTTTCAGTGAGGAAGATGTATTTGTGGTTTGATGCGTTTTTTCAAAATTAACTGTTCAACCATGTTAAATTATGCCCTATCACTCCATGTCACGAAATAGCAAAATGACAGCGATAAGAAAACATAGATGAAATATCTGCATAATGCTCAAATTCCAAAGTGAAACTCTGG